AAGGATTTTTTTTTTTTTTTTTTTTTAATGGTACCAGGGTTGAACTCAGGACCTTGGACATGCCAGGCAGGCACTTAATGCCACTGAGCTGTCTCCCTGGCCCAGTTGGTTTTTAATTTTAAGAGAAGGTCTTGCTAAGTGGCCCAGGCCAGCCAGGAACTTGCATTTCTCTTGCCTCAGCCTCCTAAGTAGCTGGAATTGCAATCATACACAACACTGAGCTCATTTTCTTTCTGCAAGTAAATGCAGTTGAGCGCTTTAGGATTGACAAGGAAAGGTCTGATGGGCATTGGGAAGAAAGCCTAGCCTGAAATGACCAGAAGGCTTTTTGTGTCCCAGGGTCTGGTGTTTCCTGTGTCAGTCTCTGGTGTCCTGTGGTGGGCTCCCTGGGTCTGGCTGGGCCCTTCCACAGGCCCGAGGGGGAGTGCAGCTGTGCAGCAGCTCTGGCGAGCTCCCTCTGCTTCTAACGTTGGCGTGCTGTTGTTTCTCCTTGGGAGGACCAAATGTGTCAGATCCAGAACGCGATTTTTATTCCCACTTCACTGCCGTCCCCTCAGTCACACAAGCATACCCTTGTACCCTCAGGCAGTGCTTCCACCCCATAAGGCCAGGGTCTGGCAGCACTTCCTCAGGAGCAGCACACTTAGTGTCTCTGCCCCTCTGGCATCTTCCTCACCTCCCCTGCTGGCTCTGCTGAGCACAGGGTCTGTGGGGGCAGGGCAGGAGTCCGGCTGGGAAGCCCTGAGTAGTTTTTTTTTCTCTGCAGTCTCAGCCTTGTTGAGCCCTCCTCCAGCTGCAGCTCTTGCTGTCAGATACGCGTCCAAGAAAACGGGTGGCAGCTCTAAAAACCTGGGTGGAAAGTCGCCAGGCAAACGTTTCGGCATGAAGAAGATGGAAGGTGAGGGTGTGCCTGGCTTTGCTTAGAAGAGCAGGAGACCGCGCAGGCATCTGGCCCGTGCTCTGCTTGTCCTGCCCTGGCATTTAGCTGTAGAGCAAAGGGCAGATGGAACCCAGTAGGGGCTGGGGGCTGGGGGGCACTGGGAGGAGGTGGGAGCATTAGCCTGTAGCTCAGAGATGAGGCCCTGTGGCTGCCGTGCTGCACTTGGACAGTCAGATTTTGTGGCACTTTGAGGGCTGCCGTGTTCCCTGGGGCTCCGAATCAGCACGCTGTGGACTTCTCTTCTAGGTCACTATGTTCATGCCGGCAACATCCTTGGGACGCAGCGCCAGTTCCGCTGGCACCCAGGTGCCCACGTGAGTTGCTCTGTGGCCCCTTTTTTCTGCAGTGACCCTTTCATGTTCAAGCACGGCAGTAATGGTTGCATTTACTGCGTGCTTACCATATGCCAAGCATGCCCATTCCTGTGCCTGTGTTGCCATTTCTCCTGATCTGTCCCTGTGAGGTGGGAGTCATCACTTCTTACAGGCGAGGTGTCAGACGCCTTGTGTGGGAGATCTCCAGCGATTGCTGGGACTTTCTTCACAGTAGGTCATTGTATCTCCTGGGCATCATTACGTCTTCATTCAGAAATGGCAGTGAGGGGCCGGGGAGATAGCTCAGTGGAATAAGCACTTGCTTGGCAAGCTAAAGGACCTGAGTTCAATCCCTGGTTCCACACAAAAAAAAGAAATGGCAGTGAGTTATAGGGAATAGATGGAGCAGCTGCAGCTGTCTGAGGACTGAGAAGCAGATTGCTTGAGGCATAGCAATCCAGGGGTGGTGGAGTTCTTACTGAGGACCATACATTTTTTTTTTTTTTTAATTTTATTTATTTGTGTATGTGTGCATGTAGTGTGTGTGTGTGGCCAGCTCAGCCCATCAGGGGGCGGGGCTGGCTGGCATGTGGTGCTGGGGGATTGAACCGCGGTCCCTGTGCTTTGCTAAGCTTGTTCCAAGTAGGTGCTTTAGACCACTGAGCCATCTCACCAGCCCCTCTACCTGGGTTTTTGAGACAAGTTCTCACTAAGTCACCTAGGCTGACTTTGAACTTGCAGACCTCCTGCCTCATCCTCCTGAGTAGCTGGGCTTACAGGTATGCACCATCTTGCCCAGCTTTGAATGTTTTTATTTTATATTTATTTAGTTATTTAGAGACAGGCTCGCACCATGTAGCTGTTTGGCCTTGAACTCACTATGTAGCCCAGGCTGGCCTCAAACTTACGGAGATCCTTATGCCTCAGCCTCTGGAATGCTGGGGTTACAGATGTATGCCACCATCACTGGCTTAAATGTGGTAGCAAACTATCAGTAGAATCGTATAAACATTTTTACTTTTATGCTCCAAGGATATGAATATTTTTATTCTAGTAGAATCAAATGCAGTACTTTTTTCTTCCACTAAGCAGAGTGACTTGGGAAGCAGTCAGATGGGGTTGTCTTGTCTTGCTTCACTATGGTGTTAGTCTGGGCTTTTGATTTTCCTTTCTAACCCTCAGTTCTTGAAGGATGAGATACTTTGTGATTTCAGGTATTTTTTGAACCTTAGGAAACTAATTTCAATTTATTTCTAAGAATTTTTCCTTTGCACAAACTTTTTATGTTTGAAAGACAGCTTCAGTTTAATAAAATAGAATTCAGTAATGTGTACCAAAAATTAGATCCCCAGCAGCGGAAATGTCAATTTTAACAAGTTGGGATTACTTCACAAGGTGGGAAAGTTCTTTGTTAAGAAAACTATCCTGTATGTGTCATGTTATTTTTAAATATATGATTAGTTTTCTCTGTGTGCGCGTGTGCGCGCTGCTGCTGCTATTTCTGTGTGAGCCCAGCTCCAAGCCTTGGCCCCGTATGTACCAAGCAAGCTCACTCCTACTGAACCACACCACCAGCCTAGCTATTGGCAATTTTAATAAATATTAAAAGGTTAACACTAAACTGTCATTACTTAAGTAATGCTAACTTGGATGTGAAGTGACTATGCTTGTAACCCAGGGCGGCGGAAGGGCGAGTGCTGGGACTGGACTCAGCACCCTGGCGCAGCGCCGGTGCTCGGCTTCCTGGGCAGAGCTTGCCACAGAGCTAATCTCAATTCCTAGAAGAAGAAAGCTAGTGTGTGCAGTTTATTTTGTTATTTTTTGCAATACAGGGGATGGACCTCAGGACCTTGTACTTGCCAGGCAGGCACTTATGCCACTGAGCTACCGCTCTGGTCCTAGTGTGTGCAGTTTAAAATCAGAATGTACAACATAGCGTATCCAGCCATTTCATGCTTCATACTCAGCTTCTACAACACAGGGTTGGATATGGTACCTACTTCGCAAGGTGAGGGTTAAAGGAGCTGAGAGACATGGGTTGGGAGCCAGGCGTCCATGTAGGCAGCGCGGTGTGTGTATTAGCTGTGTCACTGTTATTGTCCTCTTGGCACATGCGTTACCCATACGAGCATTCATCTATATTTTCTAAAGAGCCTAAGCTTTGTACAGTACATCAAGCTAGCATTAATTGTGACAACTTGAGTGCTTTTTAAATCTAAAGCGTGTTCCCAGAGACACCAATGGGGGCACATGCCTGGGCCAGGCTTGGAGGCCTGTCCAGTGTGGCCACTGACCCGCTCCCTCAGCCTGGTGGCAGGTGTTGGCCCTCCTGGTGTAATCAGGATAGGTATTGGAGTTTTCCCTCTTCGGTTGTGGAGTCAGCAAGAAAGTGCCATGCAGTGGGCAAGGGAGCCAGGGACAAGCCACTGAGCACGCTGGCCAGCTGACCAGATCTTGTTGCAGGTGGGCCTGGGGAAGAGGAAGTGCCTGTACGCCCTGGAGGAGGGGACAATCCACTACACTAAAGAGGCCTATGTGCCCAAGCCCAGCGACCTGGAGGCTGTGGACCTGGTCACCAGGCTGCCGAAGGGAGCTGTGCTCTACAAGACTTTCGTCCATGTGGTTCCTGCCAAGCCTGAGGGCACCTTCAAACTAGTGGCTATGCTTTGAAGTCTTGGTTGAGGCCACTGGACAGACTTGGTGCCCAGGTGACAGTAGAGGAGGAAGAGGTCTGCTGGATGGCGGCTGCAGGAGACTGAAGTGACGCCGGGAAACTGGGAGAGCCGGCCGGGGCCTGAATAAAGCCAGCTATGAGGACAGCACAGCGTGCAGCTGCCTGCTGCCTTGTTGGGCCCATCTACATCCTTCCATATGTACTGAGGGTGGAGGCAGGGACGGGCGCACAAGGCTGAGGGAGCAGGCAGTCCTTCCTTTGAGGAGTGGGCTGGTTTGGTTCTACACCAGAGAGGACAGAGAGCTTGGGCTACTCAGCAGTGCTGCTGTTTCCTCACTGGGTCCCCTAGGAGTCCTGGGCAGGGCTGGGAGGAAGAGGGGGAACTAAAGCACCAGCAGGCTGTGTTCACATGTAGAGGGAGTAGGCCACAGCCATTGGCAGCTGCACAGTGGCCCCTGCCTCGGGGTCTGGGCAGGAGCTTGTGGGGTTATTAGGAGACCATCAGACTCATCTGCTTGGGACAGCAGGGTCCTTCCCAATGGTGAGGCAGAGTGGGTGACAAATGATTTCTTCCTGCGCAAAGCCAGACACATGCATTTCTCTTGTTCTTGATTTATTTCCAGTTGAAAACAGCCAGGGAGGCTTGGCCTTGGGACTGCTCAGGTCTTCAGCCAGGAGGGAGTTGGAGGTCATAGTGTTGTCTGTAGCCAAACGGCCTTGAGGGTCTCTTTTTGAAACCAAGCCCCCTTAACTTGCAGGCTGGGGCTCTGGCAGAGGGTGGAAGAAGGGACCCCTCTTCTGGAGCTTTAGGGTCCTGCCTCATCTCAGGGCCTGCCCCCAGGTTCTCCACCTACAGATCCTTCCACAGGTGGCCCGGGTTTATAAGATTCACTTTGGCGTCCTGTATGTGGGGCCTCAGTACCAAAGCCCTGAAGGGAAGTGCTCATGCCTTGGTGGGGAGGTCTCCACACTCAGTGCTGTTCCAGTCCCTTAAGGCAGTGGAAGGGTCAGGCCAGGCGGGTACACCCTCCTGCACATGGTGTTGCCTTGAGCAAGGTAGGAGGCTGCTTCCTGGGATGGATAAGTAATGTCACAGCTGGGTGGTGGTGGTTGTGACCTTAGAGCCTCTTCATGTCTTGGTGGCAGCTGCAGGGACGGGAGCACAAAAGTATTTGCCATTCCCTTTTCTCCCCATGTACATACAAGCCAGTGAGATTGCTGCTGTTGTCGCATCTGTCCCAGGGACAAACTTGTCCCAGAAATCCCTTCAGAGGAGCCCAATAGCACAGCCCCCCCCCCCCGGTGTGTGTGTGGGGGAGTCCCTCTATACAAATAGATGTGATGGGGCCACCATCCTTGTCCTGGGGTTTTCCTCTGGTGGCCCTATCCTGATCTGTGGGGCTTTTAAGTGGACATTGCTTGGTGCTCCAGGGTCCCCATGGCCACAAGGGTTGAAGGGTCCCTAAGCCCGGAGCACTGTGTGATCAGCTGGTGTGTCAGCTGTGCCACCGGTCCATACACCTGCAGCCGGGCAGCTGTGCTGGCTACCACAGGGGTGGCTGGTGGCTTCTAGGCAGCCTCAACCTTTGACCCACCTGGGGGCAGCCCTGTGACCTAGAAAAGTCCAGAATCCTGAACAGTGCACCCAGGACCGTCTCCCACTCCATTGCGTCTGGCTTCTCCCTTGCATTCCCCAGTCCTAAACAGCCCAGGGCTGGCTTGGGTCCAAGCACATGTCTGTCACCCCTAGGGGGCAGCCGAGGGTCTTCTCTTCCTGTCCCAGTGCCCTGGGCTCCTGTATGCTGTCTGTATCTTGTGGCTTAGCCAGTGCTGCGGTGCAGAGAGGATAGGTCCAGGAATTGTGAAGATGGTTCAGGGCAACTTGTAGGAGAGCAGAGCCTAGGCACCTGCTCGTCCCTAGTTCCCGCTCCTGTCACTATGACCCTCTGCACCAGCCCCCTGCATTTCTCCTGGTCCTGTGGCAGCAGCTCTGGGGACCTTTGCATTTATTTGGTTTGGTGCTGAGTTGTCAGAACCAGGGAGACTGCAGCTAAGGTTTGCTTCCCATGCAGCTGGCACCTGATGCCCCATCCCTGGGGAAGGCACTAATGCTGGAGACCAGGCTGGGCTTTCCCCTGAGCTGGGGACAGACCACTACGGAGTAGGGCCTTGTTAACCTGGTCTGTCCTGCTGCCCCAGTTCCCAGTAGGTGCAGGCTACTGAACATGTGCTCCTGGAGCACCTTTCCTTAGAAGCTGGAGTTGGGGCTGGGGCTGCCTGTGTTACAGGCTCTGGAAGTGGCAGGGCAGAGGACTTGGCAGAGGGAATGGTACTGGTGCAGCAGCAGTGGCACGGGGTGCCAGGAAGGACACTGGCCTTGAAGGTGCAGCCTGTCAGGGCTCCCCAGGTTTGCACACACCTGCCTTGCCAACCCTGGTTAGTGCCAAGCTGAGTCCTAGTGCCCTGTATCAGCCACACTCCCCTCTGCACGTCCAGAAGCCACCTTGGGAAGAGGGTGGTGGGGACAGCCACTGCCCCTGCTGGACCTGCCAGTCAGCCAGGGGTGCCCTTGTTCCCCCAGAGCTGTGCCCTTTCCCAGCCCAGTGTTGCCCACCTGCTCTGCCTTTTGGTGTCAGTTGGCTGTCCTCCTGGCTACTTCTGATGGAACCATGATGTCTGAGCCTACCCTGGGAACCAGGCATGAGGGCCACAAAACAAAAGCCTCTCTGCCTGGGCATCTCCTCACCAAGTAATCGTGCAGCTCCAGGCCCACCTGCTGGAACCTGCTCTCTACTCCCCTCACCCTGTCCCCAGGTCTCATCTTGGCCCCAGAGCCCCCAACTACCATAAAGACTTCAGAGGCCTCAAAGTGGGGGCCTCACCTCTGCCTGCCCTTGGAGCCAGTCAGGACGCCTGAGTCTGGGGCTGCAGAGCTCCTAACTTCTGCCTTCCTCCACTGAGACCTGGATCTCTGCCACCACTTAAAGCAGAGCCCTCAGTAAGGATCATCACTTGCTGAGCTAAATGAGGATGTCAGCCCCAGCCCGGCACGATGGTGCACACCTGTAATCCCAGAGCCCTGGGAGCCCAAAGCAGAACTGCATTTATGCTCAACCTAGGCAATTTGGAGATTTAGTGAGACCCTGTCTCAAAAAATAAAGATCTGGGAATGTAGTTCAGTGCAAAGCACCTAAGGTCAATCCTGGGGGCTGGGGCGATGGCTCAGTGGAATAAGCGCTTCCCTGGCAAGCGCAAGGGCCTGAGTTCAATCCCCCCCCCCCCAAAAAAAAAGTCAATCCTTGGTACACTGAAAACAAAACCCAGCTAGCTCGTCATGGTGACACATGCCTATAATCCCAACACTCAGTGGGACCCCAGCACTCGGGGCAGAGAGTAGCTGAGACTCTGGACTACACAGAATTCAAGCTCAGCCTGGATCTTGGGCCGGGACTGGTACAAAAAGATACTGTGCCTGCCAGAAAGGCTCTGGAGATTGACAGCAGCCAGCAAGATCAGCATGGCTACACCACCAGCCCAAAGGGTGGTCAGGGGCGCCCTCTCCTGGCAGCCAGGAGAACTGGACATGACAGCCAAAAATAGAGCGCTTATTCCCAAGCTGAGCAAGCAGTATGGGTGGCTGATGAACGACTAGCAGCGTCCTCTTGCTTCCACATTATATAAGGTGTGAAAGCTGAAGTTGAGCCCTTGCCGACACCAGGACGGTCAGGTGGGGAGGGGACTCCTAGAAGGGAAGGCAGGTAGACAAGGAGTGGCCAGGGATCCAACCTCTGCTCCTGGCCAAAAGGGACAAGCTTTACTCAGCATAATCAGCAGGCTGTGGCTGGGATCCACTTTGTTCTTTGTGCCTTCAAAGGCAGGCTTTGGCAGGAAGCAGGAACAATGAGGGCTCCGGGAGGGGCCAGTGAATGCTGAAGGCAAGGAAGCGGCATCTGCCACAGCCTGGCCCACTGGTGGGAGGATGCTGAGTCAGGGCGCTCGAGGGCCACACTCCAGCCCAGCGCAGCAGTGCACACCTGCATTCCAGCACTTGGAGGCTGGGACTGGGGGATTACCTCAAATTTGAGGCCAGCCTGAAGTACACAGTGACACCCTGCCTCAGAAGAAAGGGTTGCGCTGGATGCTCCTCCAGCCCTCTGGCTTTGGATGGACTCCTGCTACAGAATAAGGCCGTGGTCCTCAGAGCTACTGCAGCAGCAGCTGAGACTTGCAGAAGGCCAGGGAACGTGTGAGAGGAGGGGAAAGACACAGGCGGGCGCAGAGCGATAGAGATATATTTCTTCTGTTGCATATTTCAGACTTCTGAGCTTCAGGCACAACGCAGCTCTGGGTTCTTCTGAGCACCCTACTGCTGGTTCTCACCCAGGCCGCTACTGAGGTTGCCCCTCCCACACGCACTCGGAGCACCTGGGACCCTGCGCTGGATGCAGCCAGTCCCAATGCGGGGCAGGATGTGCTGGGATGCCCCAGAGCCAGCCCCTCCCCTGCTCTAGGCTCCCCTGGCTATCAGATGAGAGGCTGTCCCGGGGGCCCCAGCTCCACAGCAGCCCCATGTCTCCTGATCTGCTGGCCTCAGAGCCTCAGCTGTGAGGATCAAGGCCCAGGCTAGAGACTAGGCCTGAGAGAGCAAGGCATCCCCAGTGTCCCAGGGCAGTGGCAGAAGGGCTCCACACATGGCCAACTTCCTGGGGCTGTTCCCAGCCCTATTGCACATCTCTCGTTTCTAGTTCCTCCCCCACCACCCACCCTTTTTATATTTAAAAAAATACGAACTAGAGATGGGGGAGGCAGCCCTGGGAAGGGATTCCAGAGCCCTGTTCCGAACCTGCCCCTCTGAGGGTTCTCTAGCAGAGCCACTTGCTGTGTCTCCAGGCTCTTGATGGCTGGAATGGGTGAGCGCCTGGGCCACCCGCCTCACCTGTGGGCAGGGCACACTTTACCGAATGTCCATAAGGTGCGATGCCCGGTCCCCCGGGCGTGCTGGCTGGGGCCCTGCTACCTGAGTCGCCCGTCCACTTTGATGGGCCCCAGCTCTGACTTGGGGTCTGGTGACAGAGAGCTCCAGCTTGTCAGTCTGCAGGGCTCCAGGGAAGGGCAGGCAGAGGGGCCCGTAGCACACAGTCCTGCCAC